CTCCCGGTAATCTTCCCAACAACCCCCCAGTAATCTACCCAACAACCTCCCGGTAATCTACCCAACAACCCCCCAGTAATCTACCCAACAACCTTCTGGTAATCTACCCAACAACCTTCTAGTAATCTACCCAACAACCCCCAGTAATCTACCCAACAACCCTCGGTAATCTACCCAACAACCCACAGTAATCTACCCAACCCCCAGTAATCTACCCAACAACCCCCAGTAATCTACCCAACAACCCCCCGGTAATCTACCCAACAACCCCCCAGTAATCTACCCAACAACCTCCCAGTAATCTACCCAACAACCTTCTGGTAATCTACCCAACAACCTCCCGGTAATCTACCCAACAACCTTCTGGTAATCTACCCAACAACCTGCCACTAATCTACCCAACAACCTGCCAGTAATCTACCCAATAACCTCCCAGTAATCTACCCAACAACCTGCCAGTAATCTACCCAACAACCTCCCAGTAATCTACCCAACAACCTGCCAGTAATCTACCCAACAACCGCCAGTAATCTACCCAACAACCTGCCAGTAATCTACCCAACAACCGCCAGTAATCTACCCAACAACCTGCCAGTAATCTACCCAACAACCTCCCAGTAATCTACCCAACAACCTGCCAGTAATCTACCCAACAACCTGCCAGTAATCTACCCAACAACCTCCCAGTACTCTACCCAACAACCTCCCAGTAATCTACCCAACAACCTTCTGGTAATCTACCCAACAACCTCCCAGTAATCTACCCAACAACCTCCCGGTAATCTACCCAACAACCTCCCAGTAATCTAACCAACAACATGCCTGTAATCTACCCAACAACCTCCCAGTAATCTACCCAACAACCTCCCGGTAATATACCCAACAACCTCCCAGTAATCTACCCAACAACCTCCCAGTAATCTACCCAACAACCTCCCGGTAATCTACCCAACAACCTCCCGGTAATCTACCCAATAACCTCCCAGTAATCTAACCAACAACATGCCTGTAATCTACCCAACATCCTCCCAGTAATCTACCCAACAACATACCAGTAATCTACCCAACAAAATCCCGGTAATCTACCCAACAACCTCCCGGTAATCTACCCAACAACCTCCCGGTAATCTACCCAACAACCTCCCGGTAATCTACCCAACAACCTCCCGGTAATCTACCCAACAACCTCCCAGTAATCTACCCAACAACCTCCCGGTAATCTACCCAACAACCTCCCGGTAATCTACCCAATAACCTCCCAGTAATCTAACCAACAACATGCCTGTAATCTACCCAACATCCTCCCAGTAATCTACCCAACAACATACCAGTAATCTACCCAACAAAATCCCGACTAATCTACGGTGCAAGATTGCTGTAATCTACCCAACAACCTCCCGGTAATCTACCCAACAACCTCCCGGTAATCTACCCAACAACCTGCCGGTAATCTAACAAGGAACTTGACTGCAACTTTACGTGCAAGATTGCTGAAGTCTCGAGAATGTTGCAGTAAGCTGGATAGACCTCGGAGTGCCTGGGATGGGATAGTCCCGGGAGCGTCTGGGATGGGATAGTCCCGGGAGTGTCTGGGATGGGATAGTCCCGGGAGCGTTTGGGATGGGATAGTCCCAGGAGTGTCTGGGATGGGATAGTCCCCGGAGTGTTTGGGATGGGATAGTCCCCGGAGCGTCTGGGATGGGATAGTCCCGGGAGCGTCTGGGATGGGATAGTCCCGGGAGTGTCTGGGATGGGATAGTCCCCGGAGTTTTTGGGATGGGATAGTCCGTGGAGCGTCTGGGATGGGATAGTCCCAGGAGCGTCTGGGATGGGATAGTCCCAGGAGCGTCTGGGATGGGATAGTCCCCGGAGTGTTTGGGATGGGATAGTCCCAGGAGCGTCTGGGATGGGATAGTCCCAGGAGCGTCTGGGATGGGATAGTCCCAGGAGCGTCTGGGATGGGATAGTCCCGGGAGCGTCTGGGATGGGATAGTCCCCTGTGGGTCTATGATGGGATAGTCCCGGGAGCGTCTGGGATGGGATAGTCCAGAGACCGTCTGGGACGTGCAATATGGGACAAATAGTATATGGGATTGAGAAAGAGAATTTTGTTAATAATAACTAATAATAATCCCTTGTGTCGGGGGACAGGCAGCCAGTGTATATATTGTGACGGTAAAGCGTTGGTGTTCGGCTGTTTCAAAAGCTGGGGGCAGGGCCTCGTCACATCACAAAAAAAAAAAAAAAAAAGTTTGTCCTTTCGTCTGTGGTAAGGTATTGGGAAGACACACAAAACACAAGTATATAAACAATGAAATTTTAATTACTCTAGAAAACAAGACATGAATAAAGGCAATTTCATAAAATGCAGGACAAGTCAAAAAACAAAATAACATGATTAATAACTGGCAATGAAAAGTTACTCTAAGACAAGTAAGTTACAGTGATAGCAATATAAATTAAATAATGGGTGCTGGAATACTGGCTTTAAGCTGCCACCTCCCTTAGTATATGAAAGCCAAGGCTTAGTCTACCAGCGAGAGATGTCAACTCCAAGGAGCACAAAGATATTCTGACGAGTCTGGCGTGCTGCTGCCCAGACGTCGACTCGCGGTGGTGGTGGTGAGTGCAGGTGCGACGAGACACCAGCCAATCAGCAACAGGCAGGCAGAGGATGAGCAGTTTGCTGGTTACAGCGGGCTGTGGCCAGGTGTTGGGGTGTGCAGGGTACGATTTGCTTCCTGGGCAAAATGTTTGGCGATACTGGTGGACGTATCTTCTATATAGTATCTTGTATGTACGACGTAATGATGTAGGGAAGAGCAGGCTCAATCTCTCTTGAAAGAGATTATCGTCAAAATATATACATGTCAGGCTTATATCGAGTCCCCCCCACCCCCACCCCTCCAAGAGTACCCTAACTCCTGGGTACCTATTTACTGCTGGGTGAACAAGGAAGTCACAGATGATAGGAAATGTGCCCAACCATTTTCTGTCCAGCCCGGGATTTGGAAATCCTGAGGAAGGCAATGGGATTAAGTGCAGTAGGCACGGATTTATGGGGATGGAATATGTGATGGAAGGTAGACAAGGTTTCAGTGGGAGATGGAATGGAAGGGGAAATAATGGAAGGGAAGAAGTCACGATGGGATGGGAAGGAGGAGAGAAAACTGACAGAGAAAGAAGAACAACAGAAGACGGAGAGGAGACAGATAAAGCAAGTTAGGAAACAGGAAATTAAGAAAGACATACAGAGAAGAGACAAAGAAGAGAGAGACATGTATGGAGAAGGTGACAGGT